TTTGCCTTGTTTCTGTTCAATGATCTTGATATTTTAGTCTGTTGGCCAGATGAAACAAGATTGTTTTTTTTTGTTCCAGATGTGTCACAGTTTTGAGTTTGTATTTTGCAGGTGCTCCCCCCAGCTGGGAAGATGGAAACTTGCCATGTTTCAGGGATGATGATTCAGGATAGAAATATAAGTGTGTTAAAAATAATTCGACATATTAATGGAAAGTTTGTCCCTCATCTCCTGCTTATACATAATGTGTATGAGCAAACCAGCAGCTGGTCTATATTTTAAAGGGAGAGTTAGAAAGTTAGGAGCACATATAGCTATTCAAAATATAAGCAACTGTTTGAAGTCATGGAAACAAAGTTTGACAATAAGCTTTTATTTGTGAAGCTTCTCTCAAAATAATAATCCCACTGAGCTATGTTCAGGTGGTCTTTTGATATTGAACAATCTCTTTATTCCATGATTTGGTGGTGGAGATGATTGCATTTATTATTTGTGGAGTCTGTTTTTAGCTGTTTTCTAGTCTCCTATATCTATGTGTTTAAAAAATAGCTTTTTAGTTTTGACTTATTTAAACATGCTGCAAAAGATTTAAAGACTCAAATGTTGACTGAGTTATTAATTAAATGATATATTTTACTCCAGGTCTCTAACACAAGAAAAAAAGGTAAAAATGTTTATTGTATACATTTTTTTCTTGAGTTAAAAAAAAAACTCGAGGAATATTACCCATGTCCACGGATGACAGTGTTCTTTACATAAACTTCATACCTTCCAGTGATTCTTATGACAGGATCTAAATGTTTCATTCAGCATTAGATCTCTCTTTCTCTTTCTCTCTCAAAATTCTCCATGCAGAAACCTTTAGTAATAGGTTTTTATTTTTTCCTTTTGAAAATTGCTGTCATGACAAGTTTAGTAAGATCTGTATTATTGGTTCTTGTATTTCATTGGTAGGGCTTAGGAATATAATGTATAAAATACTTCTGTCTCTCTAGAGTTAAAGAGAAATAATTAGCTTTAGATTGAAACAGTAAATCAATATCAGATTGGTATCTATGTTGTTTTAGTTCCATTCAAAGTACAGTGACTTCCTGTCATGGGCCTTGCAAGGCTAGCTCATGATGTAGAGTAGAAGTTTGGAAGGAAAAGTGTTGCTTGATGGTGTTGAAATTTAGAATATGGTCAATGAAAAAAATCTCTAACATAAATCTCATGTAAATCTTGTGACTTGCACTTTAGACATAGTAGTCGGGCTCAACATCTTGTGACACAAGCAAGTCTTCAAAGCAAGAAGGCTTGACAAGATGATATCTAAGTTCTAGAATCCCATTATTATCATTAAAAATAAAGTTGCATAATAGGAGAGACTTTTATATTCAGAGGGAATGGAGATTACAGGTTATGAAAGAAACTGTTTAAGGGACAAAATCTGACAGTTGAGGGAAGTTATCTTGTTTTGGGAGGAATTAAGCAGCAACAGGCCTTTCCTAACCATTGTCAGAAAATTACTCCATCCAATTAGAGAGCATGGAAGTCTGAGCTCAGACTACAAGCATTGAGATGGGGAAGAGATGCTAATAACTTGATCAGTCCTTGTTACCAAGACTCCTTGAGGAAACAAACGGTGAGAATCCATGACTGGCATTTTTTTCTACTTGGTGAAACAGGGAGAATGACTTTTAGTTTAACACGATGAACCATATTTCAATTAGTATCAGTGGAAAAAAGGAGAAATATATAATTTAATGAAGTGAACAATAAAAGAAATATTTTATGTTGAAAATTTAAAAAATTACAGTGGATTTGGATTATTTCTTTTATTCTCATGTTATGAGCCCACATTGTGAAAAATCTGTCTTTAAGTGGGAGCTGTTAATTTTTTCTTCCTCCAATGTTCAATGCTTCCTAATAGTTACTACATTTGAAGAGTACTCAATGTGTGAAAGATGTGTCTTCTCTTGATGCACTCCTAATTTAGGAATTAAAGCTATAAAAACACCTTACTTAAATATCCTCATTTTATACCTAATGAAAGCATGACACTGAGATTTGAAATGACTTGTTCAAAATCTCTCGGCTGGTAAACATTAGAATGGACACTAGATTCCTGGTTCTTTTACACTACATCACTGTTAAGAGGTGGAAAGAATCACCATAGAAATGTCTCAGCAAATTTTGTTAAGATAAAAAGGATAATGATGAGTGAGAATGAATCATTTCTATAATTCCTGACTATGGGAACTAGTTGAGGTCAATGACTTTCAAGGGGCACAGAAAGATGGAGTCATGCATAGTTTGAAACAAAGTAGGGCTTTCTCTTAATGCTTGGATATGATTTTGGATGGTGTCTTTAGCTTGCATTCCAAAATACATTAAGCTTTTAATTAAGCATGAAATTTTTATGTTTAGTGAGGATGGTTGTACCTGTTAAAGTTCTCATGTGACAGCTTCTCAAAGCTATAATGTTTTGTTCCTATGAATTAATTTTGTTTCTATGTTTGTATACTTGCTATTTAATGGATCAGTTAAGCTGTGAAATTAGTGGATGGATAGTGGATGGAATCAGTTTCTTTTTGACAACCAAGATAAAAAGGATTTATAGGTGGAAGCTGTCTATCAACTGATGTCCATCAACTGATGAATAAAGTATTATTCAGGCACAGAAATGAGTGAAGTACTAAAACATCCTACAATCTTGTTGAACTTTGGAAAGATTATGCTGAGTAAAAGAAGCCAGACACAAAAGACCATATCCTGTATGATCCTGTTTATATGAAATGTCCAGAACAGACAGATTTGTAGAGACAGAATATAAATTAGTGACAGCTCCACTGGGCTTTGTGACAAAGGAAAGGGAGGAGTTAGTGCTAAGGGATATGACCTTATTTTCCAGTACAGAAAATGCTATGAAGTAGTGTCAATACTCCTACCACATTCTGGGCTGCTATGTGCCAGTGAAACACTTAAAACCATATGCACTAAAATGGTGAATTTCATGTGACATGTATTTACCGGAGTTAGAAATAAAAAAGGAGCCAGGACACCTACATCAAATACAGTGAAAACAGAGGTTATACTGTGGGGGAGGAACATATAAAGAAACAAAAAAAAATCACATGGTACATTTTAAAAACAATAGCAATCAAGAAAAAAAACACTTGTGTCCCTATCTTGGGGTTCATTTTGCTTAACATTATCTTATCTGGTCATATGTACATAGCTTTTGATCTTTTCTGCTTGTCCCAGACATATACTAGTTATTGCAAATAAGGGAAACCTTATTGCATATGGGATCTTGTATATACACTTCTCTAATTTGGGGAGGGGAAGGGAAAAACAAAATGCTTAAATAGGGATACAGGTTGACCCATTGTAACAATGAGATGTACAAGACACTATGTTGAAAAACGAATTTTACAATTTAGGTTGGGGGGGGGGGGGAGGAGGGAGTGTAGTTGTGGAGGTGGGAAGGGAAAGCATGGTAGGGGAAAAACAAAGGAGGAGGTAACAATGCTTGATAGGAAATGTACTCATTACCTTGCTCATGTAACTGTAAACCCTCTGCACAGTATTTTTATAATAAAAACATATTTTTAAAAAAAGGAGCCAGGAACTGGTGGCTCATGCCTGTAATCCTAGCTACTCAGGAGGCTGAGATGTGAAGATTATGTTTTGAAGCCAATTCTGGTTAATAAAGTCTATGAGAGTCTTATCTCCAATTACCCACCAGAAAACCAGAAATGGCGCTGTGGCTCAAAGTGGTAGAGTGCTAACCTTGAAAAGTGCTAAGGGAGAGTGCCCAGGCCCTGAGTTCAAGCCCTATGACCGACAAAAAAACAACAAAACAAAACAAACCCCCAAATACAAAATAAAATAAATAGATAAGTGAATAAATAAATAAAAGAAATTGCATCAGTGGATGTCAGCATCTCAGAACTCTTTATGTGACTTGTGATTAGGAACAAGCTTTGGGATAAATGAAAACCATCATTTTGGGAGTCAATGGTTTTTGTAGGCTCATATTATATATTCAGTGTTGGAGATGGGGTGGAGGGCCAGGTTTATGCATAAATATTTAAAAGATTTTAGTTACTTATATAGTTCCCTGGAGACTTAAGAGTAAAATACCTTCTAAGAAATTCTTAGGCTATTTTTTTTTAAATGTTACCATTCTCAGCTCTCACTTGAGAGTGATATCCAAATGTAGAAAAATCACTAGACTGATTAAACATGGAGAGGCTTCAATCAAGCCCTAATTTATGTGTACTGTAGGTAACTTTGTACACAGGCAAGAGTGGTCCTGCTGCACTGGGGGCTAATTTGTTCTGACCTATTCTCTCTTTACTATTTCTGTGCCTCTGTAGCCTTGCAAAACCCATCCTTCCTACACACAAGGACTTTTTGTTTAAAGTCTGTCTCTTGGTGAGCTTTCTGACAATTCTTGCACATTTAGTAAACTCTCCGAGAAGTTTTAACAGTGAGGTTACTTGGTGACAGAGGTTATTCAATTGTATTTTGAAATTTGATGTAGAAAAGTAATTGGCTGTACATAGTTTTAGTGGCATAACCTGAATAATTTTAACAGCCTTTCTGTGTCTTCATCTCTAGTTACACACACACACACTCACACACACACACACACATGCTTTTTCCCAAGACATAAAAATTATATTGGCTGTTATTTGCTACATTAAAAAAACCCTCCAAAGATTGAGTGATCTTCTAAATGAATATTTATTTTTATTAAAAAATATGACACATTAAAGTGAAACAGTTACATTTTAAACAATGAAGAAGGCATAAACTTTATTCATAGGCTTGGGAGGAACGATGTTGGCTTAAGTTCATGGTCACCCTGAATGTCAGGAAGAAGAACCCTCTCTGCTTTCTTCCTCTGTGAGCAACCAATATAAAGATGAAAAATTTACTCTTAAGCTTGAGAAGTGTTATGATTTGACTCTTATTTAGAAATTAAAACTTCTCCAGTAAAATCCCTTTTCTTTAGTCTTCATTTTGTAACAATCCCAAAGTTCATAAATGTATATTTGCTGAACTTGCTGCATCAAGCTAACTCAAAAATTGTTTAGAAGTTTTTTTTTACTTGTTTTTTCATGTGCTATTCCCCCAATGGAATATTTTTTAGGGGTTATATGTTTTATTTTGGGAATGTGGGGCAAATTTTTGCTTATTTTTTTCTACTGGTAAGATTTTTGATAAAATTTAAAATAGCCTAAAGAAACCAACATATAGTGCAATAGTGTTATTACTTTGTAATAACCACTTTTAAACTGATCATGCAAATAAAAACACAAATATAGTAGATCCCCATTTTTCTAAAGAAATATATTTTATTGACTTTTTTCCATTTTGTTACAAAGTGGTTCAAAAACTCATTCTTGCCTTGCTTGTTATTCAATGTTATGACAACTGCTTCCTCTGAGATGGTTAGTGGGGCTCTCCTAGGCACCAAAGACCATCATTTCGTGGTATCATTTTTTACAGGAAAATAACCTATGCTTAGACCTCTTGAAGAAGACCAGTTTAGTGGATTAATGTCTAATTTACACATAGTCATAAAGATAAACTTTGAATCTTTACAGATTAAACGCCCACTTTATACCATGGTGTAATTGTTTGAATTATAAGTGAGTGTACAGAATAGAGATATAGATATACTAGATATATCTATAAATAAAACAATGCTTTAAGGTAATGATACTCTTTGGCTTACTTAAATGCCTGTGGTGGATTCTTAGGAAAGGCTAAAATGCAAATGGTCCTACTATTATTGTCAATCTTAACACTGAGCTTGTGCGGAAGGTCCCTATGCTGCTGACTGTCAGCATCTCCAGGTTCACGATATACTCCCTCGGTCCTGACAGCGACTTCACGAGCACAAGCATGGCACTCACAGGACTTGTTTGCTATAATGAAAGAGAGAAGAAAGACTGAGAGAAGAATTCTTCTTGGATTAGTGTTTCTGTTATTTGTTATTGTACGTACTGTGAGAATTAGAGCAGTAGTGGGATAAAACAGCTTCTACTTAGTCTATGTGGTTTGAATCCTTTTTATCATTAACCTTTGTGTCCACCTATGTCATTAGCTCAAGTTACAAGAACTTGGCTTTTCAAAATGTTTTTCTGTCTTTTTTTATTTAAAAAAACATTTCCCATTAACACATGTTAGTGTTTAACGTTTCAAATTGCTTTTGATTTGTTAACATTTCTCTACCTTGTGTTGAATACTTCAGCCTTTTTAGAGAATAGTGATCAGATGGGAATCTGATAATCTTTAAACTGGCAAACAAAGTTGTCATTTTTCATTTTAACATTGTACATCTGTTTACATCCTAATGGATGAAGAGATAGTTAAATAGTTAATTTCAATAGAGTGTGGCAAATGAAATATAGGAATACACGGAATATAAGGATAAGGATGTAAAACAGAGGGTAACACTTTCATGAGGCTTTCAGATGCTTGAGGAACATTGAAATAGTCTGAAAGAAAGACAGGAAAAAGAAGAGAGTTATCTTTCTCCTCTAATTTTCCAATAGCAAGTGGGTTATTAGATAATGTAGTTCTTTCTATATTTTCATGTATGTGTGTGTCTGTGTGTTTTAACCATAAATGACTATTTTCTCCATTTCTGTTCCTTCTCTACTCCAATCCTGTATATACACTTTGGGCTGCTATTATTTTAACATGAAAATCCAAATAGTTTTTTGCTTGAAAGCTTTAGATATTCTATGAGGCGTTGTGTCATCTAAACCCTATTCATCTCTCCAGGCTCTTCTCAGGCTATTCTGCCTCTATCACATGAGTTCTAGAAAAACTGGACTTCTTTATAGTCCTTTCATTTTGTATTCTCTAATTTATCCTGGAGCTTAAATGTACTTCTTCAGTGGCTCCAAGACTACTACTATCTTAATTAGATCTATTTATTTATTATACATTTGTTAACAACTCTTCTAAGCACTTGTTCAGTAGTGCAGGAAATGCTTGGTTGTATTCATTGTTATGCATCCAGAATCTTCATTTGGTAGTTTCCTCTTGTAAGTAATAATTGTAAGTAATAGTAATACTTTGAAGGTACTGATTGGATTATTTAAAGAATATGTGAGGTGCTGGTGACATACACCTGTAATCTTAGCTACTCAAGAGGCTGAGATCTGGGGGATCAAAGTTTGAAGCAATACTAGGTAGGAAAATCCATGAGACTGTCTCATTAATCACTAAAAAGTCAAAAAGAACTATGGCTCAAGTGGTAAACTTCAGGGTCAGTGCCAGGTCCTGAGTTCAAGCCCAAGGAACGGCACAAACATTTTTTGGGGCTGGAGACATGACTCGAGTGGTAGAGTGCCTGTGTAGCAAGTGTCAAGCCTTGAGTTCCATCCCTAGTAATCCAAGTAAATATGTAAAGTATTTTTGAGCATCTTTTATGTGCTAGGCACTATTATATGTGCCAAGAATAGAAAAGTGAACACATGGGTTTGTTTGGTTAGCATTACAGTGACACAATTAAGTGAGTAATATGCCAGGTAATGATAGGGCTTTGTGTAAAACCATGGCTCAGTAAAGAAATGCATGTACTGGGGACAGATGAGACCCTAACTCAATTTCATGTATGACTCCTTTATAATATGTTCTCCTTTTAGAAAAGATCTCAGTATCCTCCTAAAAGAAATATAAGGAGGATTCCATATCCCAAATATCCTTTAATGGTTACATCAGCTCTCATGACTACCAAGTAGCTTCTTTTCTGTTAATTTTTTGATATCTTGAGACCATAAATGAAACAGATACTTGGCACCTTCTTTATTCATTGATGTTAACTTTTGCTTCACAGTAATACTGAAATTTGGTGAAATCAGTACACTGAATGTCTTAATTTCTAATAGCTGCTAGTTTGGAGCAGGGAATATAGTAGGTGCTTAACTAAGGTCTGCTGATAGATTATTATTTCTTTGTGTGTGTGTGTGTGTGTGTGTGTGTGTGTGTGTGTGTGTGTGTGTGTGCGCACGCGTGCGCATGCGCGCGCGCTGGTATTAGAGCTTGAACTCAGGGCCTCTTGCTCTCATTGGCTTCTTTTGCTCATGGCTAGTACTCTCTCTCTTAAGCTCTGCATTCAGTTCTGGCTGCTGGGTCAGTACAGATAAGTGTCTATTGGTTTTGTCTCTTGGTTGGCTTAGCACTGTGATCCTCAGATCTCAAGCTCTGGAGTAGCCAGGAATATAGTAATGACCCACAGATACCTAACTGTTAGCCAATTTTTGTGCCTAAATTTGTACAATATAAGTAGAATTTCAATGTGGAAATGTGGTAAGATTTTTTTTCAATTATTTGATAAGTAGTCTTGAAATAGAATTTTATTATTGTGAGTAGTTTTTAACATTTAAATAATTTAAAGTTCTTTAATGCTGGAATTATTAAAATTGACAATGCCTTATATAATTCATGAACAAAGGATTTTACTGGAGAAAAATGTGATAGTGTAAGGTCGGCTCCTGGATGGCAAGCACACTCCACCCTCCTCGCAGCAAAGTCTCCACCCAGTACCTGTATTACCTAGGCAAATGGCACACCTGGAAGAGGTCACATCTGCATCCCCTGAGGTCACATCTGAATTTGATGTGGCCACACCTTTCTCCATCCATACCCTAGATAAGGCCTAGCCCAGGCCCACACACCTTCTTTTCTAGCTCTCTCTCTTCTCATCTCTTTCCCAGCTCTCTTAGCTCTTTTCCCAGCTCTCTCTTTCCCAGCTCTTTCCCAGCTCTTTTTCCCAGGTCTTTCCCAGGCCTTTCCCCTCCAGCTGGTGCCAGCCTGAACGATGAATAAACCTACCCCTTACCTGAATACCACGTGCGTGGTACTGTTTTTACTTGGCTACCTCTTTTTAAAAACCTAACAATTAGTATTTATAATGGAAAACAATAGGCCAATAAATGCAGATGTGAATAAAGTAACCTTCCAAGTGCTGTGTTTGCTGCAGAGGAAGAACATGCTGGGGTTCCAACAGAGCCATGTTTGGACTGTTTATTGATTCTGCTGCTCAATGATTCTGTCAGGAAATTTTATTTTCTTAAGTCATGGCTAACAGTTCAAAATAGAAAGTTATTTCTGAAGATGATTGTTAAGATAAATCTATTTTATTACCTTGAATTTACCAATAATGTCTGGATTGGAATTATTTAGTTGAGCTATGTAAATCTCATTTAGAGGAGATTTCTTCAAATATCTAAAATACCTCAAGTATAAAACATCAAGTCTTAGAGTAGTTTATCTTTTTCATACAATAGATTATACTTGGAGTTAAGTTTTTCTCTTCAGAAGTTGGTAATGAGAAATTAATAATTTCTAACTTACTGACAAAGAAATGGAATCATGTTATTCTGGAGTTGGAAGGGAAGAAAATATATCAAAGAACAAGATAAATGTGTAAGCATAAAAAATGTGTAAACTTTATCACAAGAATGAATGTCCCAATGTACTTTCATATTCTCAAAATGAAATATTTAGTTGAGAATTTGATTGAAAATGAAGAATGCCCAAAGGAGTTTTGAGAAAATTGTAACTGGATGACTAACATCTTTAGCATGAAACAGTTTCCGTAACCCTGCCATCACGTTCATATGAAGTGGTGAGCTATATTTAAAACGTGTCAGAATTTTAACCTAAAATGAACTTGCTGAGATTTTTGCACAGAAAACTGTAAGGCTGAAACATTGGAGTTAGGAAGATTAATTTGTACAACTCTGGAGGAGTTGGGGAGGTAATGGGAAAAACTTCAAGGCCAGGCAGTGGGAGCAAAGATAATCCAGGAGACATTGTAAAAAAGAAATGACAGAATTCAGAAATGAGATTTCACATGGCCAGTTGAAGGCAAAGAAAAGACCCGAGAGAGCCCACAATGTCTGTCTAAAGTTTGCACAAAGGGTACAACTACTGACATAGTGCTCTGTGCAGGGCAGTGGGTCACGTCTCAGAGATTGCAGGAGTCTAATATGTGTGCAAATCTAAACTTTCCTGCAAATATAGCAACAAAGAATTAATGATTTTTGAAAAACTCTCCAGAAGCTTAAGCAAATGTTATTAAATTAAATGTTATTGATTTGTGATACTTACTTAGGTTTTGTGTGTGTGTGTGTTGGCAGTCACACACAACCCTATTAGAGTGTGCAGCTTAGAATAAGTGTGTCTTTAGGGAAGCATTTAGTCTCTTTGAGTCTCACTTTTCTTTTCTGTGAAAGGTGATCAATATTAATACCTGACAGTAGTACCAGGAGTATTAAATGAGATAATGCTTACACATAAAGCTCTTTAAATACTAGCTTTCCTCCCACAGGTATGCTATATGACAACAAACTGCTACCTTTTTCTCAACACCTAATGCCTCCTCCAAGATACTTACTCGCAGGTAGAACTCCCCATTTTCATTTCCAGATTTAATCCGAAAAGAATTGATGGTGTTGGCATAGACGGTTGTGGCCTGTATCTGGAAGATATCTGATGGCACAGACCTATCAGATCGGATGCTCATGTACTTGTAGACTATGGATTGGGGCAGCTCTCGGCACATAGCATTTGAGACTGGGCAAACACATCGGCTGCAGAGACAAACAGAAAGTATTCACTGGTTTGGCTTGGGAAAACCAGAAAACTCCTACTTTCAAAATTTCTAATGATTCTTACTTCTCTGATGTTAGAACATAGGGATCTTGACAAGGGTTTCGTGGGTAACAACGGAAGCCACCATGATAATTCCAGCACATTTCATCCTCTCGGCATTCATTGGTAGTTTCACACTCATTTATATCTGTAGAGACAAAGGGTTAAAAAAAACAATGGATCGGGCTGGGAAGGTGGCTCAGTGATAGAGCACTTGCCTTGCATGCTTGGTGGCTCAGTGGTAGAGCGCTTGCCTTGCATGCCTGAGGCCCTGGGTTCGATTCCTCAGCACACATACGCAAAAAGAAAAAAGCCGGAAGTGGTGCTATGGCTCAAGTGGTAGAGCGCTAGCCTTGAGCTGAAGAGCTGAGGGACAGTGCCCAGGCCCAGAGTTCAGGCCCCACGACCAGAACCCCCCCCCAAAAAAAACCCCAAAAAACAAAAACAACAACAACAAAAAACAATGGATATATGAAAATTTTGAGTGGCAGATTCTTGTTTGTAGTAAGGAGGTATGTGCATATGGGCTAAGCTCAACTGGGTGGGATCTGAAGTTACTTTATGACATCAGGACAGATGTAGCTGAGGCATCTTGGTCAGATTAATATGTGTCAAGTCATAATATATTATCAAGAATCAATTGTTTATTTCTTTTTTAAAAAAGTGTACTGTTTGCAGTTATTTCTTTTGTCTTTCGTTCCCCACCCACCCTGGTTTATTCTCTGTGGTCACTATTTCTGATTTTTGGAACCCTTTGCCTTGTATATAAGTTTATCTGATTTGGGGAAGGAAAATGGAATCACAGAAATGGTGGGACAAAAGGTGAACCAAAAGACTCCACATAGAGCTCCCCTATGACCCAGCAATCCCACTTTTGGGCATTTACCCAAATGTTCACAAACAAGACCACACTAAAGCTATCAGTACAACTATATTTATTGCAGCATTATTTACCATAGCTAAGATATGGAACCAACCCAGATGCCCCTCAGTAGATGAATGGATCAAGAAAATGTGGTATATATACACAATGGAATTCTATGCCTCCATCAGAAAGAATGACATTGGCCCATTTGTTAGGAAATGGGAAGACTTGGAAAAAATTATATTAAGTGAAGTAAGCCAGGCCCAAAGAAACCTAGGTCCCATGGTTTCCCTTATTTGCAATAACTAGTATATGTCTGAGACAAGCAGAAAAAGTCAGATAAGTTGATGTTAGGTGAAATGAACCCCAAGAGAAGTATTCAAATGTTTTTTCTTTCATGTGATTGTTTCTAACATATTTATAAGATGATTTCTTTGTGGCTTTGTATGTCCCTCCCCCATGGTATAACCCCTGCTTTCACTGTATTTGATGTTGATATAATTTGTGGAGGGGAAGGGCAAAAACAAGTCATTTAAATAGGGATACAGGTGAACCCGTTGCAACAATGAGATGTACAAGTCGTTATGTCGAAAAATGAACTTTACAACTTTGGGGGGGGGAGGAGGAGAAGGGGAAGGATATCGGGGGGAGCGGAGGGGGAAATGGGAAGCGGGGGGAGATGGGAAGGGATAGGAAGGGGAAACAAAGGAGGAGGCAACAATGCTTGGTAAGAAATGTACTCATTATCTTGCCCATGTAATTGTAACTCCTCTGTATGGTATTTTCATAATGAAAAAAAAAAGAAATAAAAAAAGGTGAACCAATGCAACAGCAATACTCACTAGACACTATGTTGGAAATGAACTTTACAACTTGTGGGGGGAGTGTAATGGGGGGGAAAGGGAAAGCAGGAGAAAACAAGGGAGGGGGAAACACTGTTAGAAAAGAAATGTACTCATTACCTTATGTAACTGTAACCCCTCTGTACATCACCTTTACAATAAAATAAAATAAATCCCAATTGTTCACCTGTTGTATTCAAAGCCAAATGTGAAACAGTAGGTCTTACAGAAAAGTGAAACACAAACAAGAAAAACCCCAACAGTTTTTGGCAACAGGGAGATGCTAATTTAGTTGCAAAAATAGATGTGGCAGCATTTACTTATAAAATAAAGCTGAATTTAAAAACAGATAGGTAAATGCATTAGAGAATTTGAAGAACTGATTAATTCTGCTTTGAAGATTAGGAAAATCCAGTGATGGAGTAGGCTTATCAACTTGCCTTGAAGGGTGATGGCTAGATGTAATTTTCATGCGTAAGGTGGGGAAGCCTTCCAGGATAAGAAAGCAGCTAGTGAAATCCACAGAAAGGACAGCTGAAAGAAAAAGGCTAGAAATGTTTTAGTAAGCAGCATGCAAGGACAGTTGATACTTTGGGAGAAGATTGCTGGATTCAGAGGAAGCACAGTGGAACAGGAGGTATAAAGTAGAGCATTTAAGGACTCTGTGGAAGAAGGGGTTGTTGATAGTAAGAGGTACACCAGGAAAAGGCAGTGCCCAAGAAGCAGAAGGGGAATGCGCTGGGAAGGAGGGTTGTAGGTAGGCCTGGTGGATAAGGACTGATTTTAGATTTGGCTATTAGGAAATCCTAGATGACATTTGGAAAGACAGTTTACTAGCAAGTCATACTTTTTTTGTGTGTGCCAGTACTGGAGCTCAGCGCCTGGGTGCAATTACTTCTTTTATATAGTTGCTGCCAGGCAATTGAACTCAGGCCAGGGCCTGAGCTTTTTCACTCAAGGCTATCACTCTATCACTAGAGCCACAGCTCTGCTTTCAGCTTTTTGGTGTTTATTTGGAGATAAGAGTCACACAAACTTTCCTGCCCAGGCTGACTTTGAACTGAGATCTTCAGATCTCAGTTTCTTGAGTAGATCTAGGATTACAGGTATGAGCCACTGCAAGTCATACTTTTATAACAACAGTAACAATTAATATCTACTTCCCTACCTAAGTATATCTTCTTTTTCATTTTATATTTATCCAGTTCAAATTCATTAATTTTCCCCTTCCACAAGTAATTTACTGAGTCATTGTTATAGGCCATGTAAAGACCAGGCACTGAAATATGCTCTTATACATGGTCTTACCTTTTAGGGCCTTTATTACTTTCTGCTTGGCATTATTATATTCTTTGCATTAAAAATCCTATTAGATTATTCATTCTTTTGGAGTAAGGGCTTCTATCACCTCTTAATCACCACCTAGTATTAATGCACAGGAGTTTTTAGCTTTGATGAACATAAGGTAATTAAGCGGCTCCTTACATTTTAGAGATGAGCAAGAAAGATACTAGCTCCATTTTAAATGAAGGAAAAACAAATAAGTGGCCAGTTCAGGTTTGCATAGTGATAGGCATCTTAACATTGTAAGGAAATAAATAGGAAAAAATTCTTTGATGGGAAAAATTATTTTAGCTTCTAACTAGCAAAATTTATCTGTTATCCAGGAAGAGAATGGAAAAGCTATACACTTTCCAAGTGTCAGTTATAAGAAGTCTTTTCTTGGACTGACTACAACTGAAGGCAGAAAACCTAGATTTCTCAGAAGTCACAACTGACCCCTTTTATATTTTCTCCCTCCCCTCCCTCCTTTAAAAAATAAAGTATTTAGCTACAGGGAAATCTGAGACTGGTTTTTATAATATGTAGTCCAACAGTGGCATAAGGAAACAATGCTGAAACTTTATTACTAAATAATTACAATAATTTAGAGCCTAGCATAATTAACAGCTTGATCATTCTGAAAAGTTTTTCAGAAATTAATAGTATTAAATATTAGATGAACATATGTCTGCATGTATATTTTATCTCCTCTTTTCTTTTCCCTCCCATGCTTCCTTGCTTCTTCCTTCCCTCCACCCCTCTTTCCCTTCTCCCCCCCCCCACATGCACACACAGAACTCATTTTTGCAAACCTATGGAAAATAGAACAGTTATTTCATATCCAAGACAAGCCTTTTGGAGGAAGGAAAATCAAAACCTTCAATTTTACTTTCAACACAATACTTATAACCCCCATATGTGATTTCAGTGTATTTTCTACTTTAATTTTAATTTTCTACTTTGTATATCCAGACTAGAAAATTCAGATCTCATTGTACACTAATTTGTTTCTTTGTTGAGTATTAAATTCATTTATGATCAGAAACATAGACCATTGCTTTAAGAACTCCAGAGAAATTGGTTAAAATATCTCACTAACATTTTCCTGAATTAGGTTTAACATGTAAACCCATTGGAATGCAATGCTTTGCCATAATTAACATTTATATAACATGTATATAAATATGTTTATTATACAAATAATGACATTTTGTCCTTGATGTTTTCCTTTATTTAAACAAAAGATTTTACTGTCCTTTTATGCAATCTTTCCAATTCTGATTGGACCCTCTAGAGAAAAGTTAGTATTACTCATTTACATTGCTAAGTAGATTTCATAAAAACACTAATTGTTCAAAGTTTGCAGATTATAAATTATTTATACATGTTACTTTTCATACTTCCCTTTTTCCAAACAGAGAAAACTGATGCTTAGAAAAGTTTGATGATTTGTTCAAGACTGCGCAGAATCCTATTACTTCTATGTTTTTCCTGGCCAAAACAGAACACTTCACATGTATGAAAGCAATGAACTTACCCTGACATGTTCTACTTCTCACCACTTGATATCCCTGGGGGCACATACATGAGAATTTTCCAGGTTCATTGACACATTGATATTGACACAGGTAGCTTGATGTTCTGCATTCATCAATGTCTGTGTCATTAGACAAAAGCAAGGACACCATGTTGAAAAACTTGCATGTTACTACTTTAGAAATAAATATTTTAAGTGAGGTGAAGAGAGTAAAAAGATTACCGACTGGAAAACAGAATAAAAACAAGGTTTTTTATCAGGAGCTCAAGGGCTACATCTAATACTATCAGCTCATTTTCCTCTCTTCACAACATAGATAGTTTCTCTCACATCAACTTCATGGAATGTTTGCCAACAGTGTGGTCAACCCTGGGGCTAATTGTGCTAGCTGGGTACAGAGACTGAACTGGCTTATGGTGGATGCTCTTCACTTTGGCTCTGCAGAGCCAACTGGAAGCAGATTTGTGTCTGCCTTCTCAGGAACTGGGTGACTATTGCTAAGGTTTGAACTCCAAGACCATCCCTGTGCAAGTTTGTAGAGGTGAAATCTTGACAGGATCCAGCCTTTAGGGTAAAAAAATGCTTTGTATTTCTGAACAGCTGTATTCCTATACCTTGCTTTGAAGGGCAGAACAAGACATCTTAAACTGCATTGCAGGCAGTATAAGAAATACTTTCCCTTGTTTTTTTTTTTTTTTTTTTGTAATGTTTTGACATGTCCTCGGGTCTTCTCAAACCTAAGTATGCATGCCAACTATCTGACATTCTTGTTAAATACAGATTCTGACTCGGGAGGTCTGGGTTGAAGTCTCAACTTCTGAATCACGAGCTTCAAGGAGATGCCCATGCCACACCTTGAGATGCAAACCACAAGATCTTCCTTTCTAATGATTATATCCAGCCTGCCACTAATATTTCAATCTTGTTTTTTTATTGGCTTTCAGTAGTATGTTAAAAAGCCAAGGTTATACCTGAAGAACATGAATTTTATTTTAGAATAGAATTTCCAGAATAGAATTTCTGATCATACATATGAGATAAAGCAAAACCAGTGACAAAGATGACTCTTCTTGCACATGATTCAGAAAGCCTTTTACCTTCACAGCTGATCCTGTCGCTGCTCAGCTCATACCCTTGGTTGCACTGACAGATGAATGAACCAAGAACATTGTAGCACTGCTGAGCACATTGGTTGCTGGCATCACATTCATTGATATCTGCAAGGAAAGTTTAAAAAAAATATGTATCTATCTTTGAACTTATCCTCCCTTTTTTTGTACCCATATCATCTGATGATAAGTGAGTAATTCCCCAGCTGAATTCTTTGCCTTGCAGAAGCTCATTGGAGAACATCCATTCAGTTTCAAATTTGTTGGAACAACTTTAAAGGTCTGTCATATCCTTGTTTTAGAAATACAAGAATATTTTTTCCCTAGGAATGACAGTTAGTTTTATGTTTGATAAGTCTTCCCAAAAGAATTTAATGCTTCTAATAAATACACATTCCAGGATCTATTTTCTTTTGTTGTTTGGCTTCAAAATGCCAGGTCTATAAATAATTGTTATAAGACACTCATAGTGATATAGTCTCTCAGCATGCTGTGGTGAAGATTTATCTTTGCTATTTATTACTTTTTAAATGGTTTCTGTTAAATTCCATTACAATTATAACATATGCCTTTGAGACCCATAGAGAGTTTTGCAATGCTCTAAGGCACTGAAAATATTGTGAAAAAGCATTTTTTCCCTGCACTAGATTTTTTCCATGTCAGGCAAATTTTATAATTGTGTGCTGTGACACTGCATTCTGAAAGAGGAGAAGCAGCATGTAAAAACTCAGATGCACTTTCAGTGGAAAGTTAATGTACTTTAACGTCCAGCAACCCCTTTGGCACCTTCAGCATGTCTATCATACACTGTTGACTAACTGATGAATGATGTCCATCCATTGATCTGCACTCATAAAAGCATTTGTTTTGATACACTCACAGTGTAAAACTAAAACTGGGGTTCAGAAAGTTTTCTATTCACATCTTGATGTGTTTTGAGAAACAGATTAGCTATTGTTTTTCAGCTTTATGATTGCTTAATGGCATGATGAAACCAGTTTACTCAGAAACAGAAAACTAGAAATACCATAGTATGCAATTAAAAAAAATTGCTGTGAATTGATCTCAGGGCCTCATGCTCAGCAAGTGCTCTGCCACTTGAGCTTTTTTGTTTTAGATTTTTTTTTTTTTTTTGGAAATAGTCTTACTGTTACTATTACCTTTGCCTAAACTTCCCTTGAACTATATCGATCCTCCTGCCTCTGCTTATAGCATGCTCTACTATGCCTGGAAGGCCTCCTTTTCTCCCTCCCATTTTCTTTTATTAGCATATAGTAATTGTACAAGGGGGTTCACTGTGATATGTCCATACATGCATATAATATGATTTGATCAAATTTACCTCTCTATTCTGATTATTTTTTCCTATTCCTCACCTTTAATAGGTTTTATTATTTTATTTTCACACATGCATGTCAAATACTTTGATCATATTCAACCCCCATCCTCCCTCCCTCCCTCCCTCCCTCCCTCCCTCCCTTCCCTCCCTCCCTCCCTCCCTCCCTCCTTCCCTTCCTCCCTTCCTTCCTTCCTTCCTTCCTTCCTTCCTTCCTTCCTTCCTTCCTTCCTTCCTTCCTTCCTTCCTTCCTTCCTTCCTTTCCTTTTTTGGTGCTGGTCCTGGGGTGTAAACTCAGGACACAGTTGCTCTCTGAGCTTCTTTTGCTCCAGGTTAGTGCTCTACTACTTGAGTCGCACAACTCCATTTCTGGCTTTTTGGTAGTTTATTGGAGATAAGTCTCATGAACTTTCCTTCCCAGGCTGTCTTCAAACTGTAATCTTCAGATCCCAGCCTTCTGCGTAGCTAGGATTTCAAGTGTGAGCCACCAGTGCCCATTCCCCCATTCTTTCCTTACAGACAGAAATCAATCACAAAAGGCTTACCTACGCAAGTATAGTTGTTTGCTGCCAACTGAAACCCAGGATTGCACTGACAATAAAATGAGCCTGGTGTGTTCACACATCTTTGGTGGCAATATGGAGGCACCGTGCATTCATCTATATCTATGTGATCAAACACACACAGAGAACCAAATTATTGACTTACCAAGTTCTCATCAGAGGTGATCTAGAAAGCATTATCTAGGGAAGACCTCATTTAAAAAAATAATTCTTCTTTCCTTTTTTCCTCCCATCTCTATTCTTCCCTCTTCCCTCTGCTCCCTGTTATTCCATTCCTCTCTCCCTTTCTGCTAAAATTAGGATGTTTGTGTTTCAGAAATACTTTGGTCAGTATTGTGTAGGTAAGTAAGATGTTAAGAATAGAGACTGATTGCACATCCTTTTCAGTGGTAAAGAAACCTGGGTAGATAGGGTGAATCTTGTTAAGACCATTTCACATACATAAGAATGTCAGTTTGGGGGCCAGGGCTTATTTAAAATGAGAAAAAATAAAAAGAGCAACTGAAGAAAGGAATGATGTATACAAGACTGAAAGGAGAAGTGGGTTGTGCTCAGCTGGTGACTATGACTAAGCCATTTAAATGCTCATTCTCTTGGTGTTCTGCACAATGTGATAGGAAGGCTTGCCATGTGTATCTTTGGAAGTTTTTGTGAGGGTCAAATGAAAGAACACCATGGAAGGAAAGGATGCTAAACAAGTGACCTATTGAGAATGCCCTTTTGACATTTTGATGAAGTGTTCCACCCTGTGTCCTTCTCTGATAAATATTTCCAACCATAAAATGCTCAGCTGAGAACTTGCAGATTAGGATCATCGTTGAAGCATAATAATGTGTCATTAATTCAGACTGCACATTGTGACTACACCAATATGGCATGTGCAATCTAAAACAATCATTATGCATCTGCAACAATGTAAACCTTTATAGTTACCCTGCCTTATAGTAAAACAAACTAAAGCAAAGCTAGGCTGAGTTCTGTTGGAATTTTTAAAAAGAGAGGCAGTGTGATCAAGTGGCCTCTGGGTAAACTAAGTTTGAATCTCTGTTCTGACCAGTACAAGGTTGGTCTTCTCAAGTTTCTACTTGTCTATTCTGTAAGTGATCATGCAAGAGAATTGCATGATGTAGGTAAAGTTTCTGAAACAGAGCAGGTATATACCCTTATTCAAGGTATATACTCTTATTCAAAGGGTATGTAATTGTGTGTGTGTGTGTATGAGAGAGAGAGGGGAGGGGGGTTGAACTCAGTGCCTTGTTCCATTGCTTGGATTTGTCTGCCTGGGCTGGCTCTGAACCTTGATCCTCAGATATTAGTCCCCTGCATTGCTAGGCATGAATCACTAACACATAAAAAACTCAAGATTGTTTTTTAAGACCTCCTGCAGGGGGGCTACGTCTCCCACAAACTACAATAGATTATTCTACCCTATTTATTCTCTTAATCTGCTTCATATTTCTGTGTAAACCTTGACATCATGTGATACCCTTATTCACTTGTCTCCCCCATAATCATTCATGTAAAATTAAGAACTGTCTCCTTTCCCTGAGGTGTAGAGATAGTAGGAGAGAGATTTTTGTCTGCTCACTTCCGAATGCTTAATTTTTGGAATAAAAGCTGCCATAGTAGGTGTTCAACAAACATGATTTGAATGAATGGAAAATTAATACTAACTAAGAGCAATTTTAGTGTAGTACTTTCTCCTACCACCTAGTGTCTTAGGAAGATAGCAGTATTGGATAGACCATTTGTTATTTATAATAGCCTCAAGGGAACCATGGTTTTGTGCAATATGTTCAATTCTATGGCCCAGCATATGGGACACAGTCCTTTATATATATATGGTGAATAAATGATGCAAACCTTCTCAACTAGCAGATTCTCATCAAACTTATTTGTTAGCACTGTGTTTGACATTGGAGGTTTAGCATGATAGATATAGGTCATGAGAAAGATAGGCATGAAATAAATTACTTCATGAGATGGTAAGGTCCATATTAGAAAATGATACAGAAAGAGGGGGAGAACTGTGCTACCCAAAGTGAGGCCTATTGACTGCTGCTGGGTGGTGGCCTATTGGGACTAATCTATAACTAAGTACAGAAATTTAGAGTACATGTTTAGAAGTAGAATCTGACATTTCCACAACATCTGTATTATACTTTACAGAAATATTGGTCTGAAAGATTGGAATTTAAAGAATACCTGTTTATAATTTGGTGAGGAAGAGGTAACTAATTATATTTGAGAATATGGAAGATTTCCTAGAGGAGGTAACCCTGAGCTGAGATTTGCTAACAGGCAATGTTCTTGGGCTGAGAATTTGTGTAGAGGCATTGAAGTAGGATGCTATATATAGGGAACTAGAATTAGAAGTAGTTGGGACTGGAGTAGGTAATACTGTGGGTCTATGGAGTTTCTGCACATTTGTATCCTAAATCACAGCTTCTGTCTGCAAATACTAGGCCTTCCTCTAGGGCATTGGGCTTCAATGCCAGCATTTAGGCACAGGCTATGGCAGGCAGAACTGGTCCAGGGCTGGAAAGGAACTCAGTGTCGACATACAAATGTTAACAGTTCACATTCTCATACAAAAATTGATCCTGGTTGCCGGTCCCCACCTTCTCTCCCTCTGTTCCTAGGAGAAAATAATGGCTCTCCATTGGTCTGTGGTAAGAGGTGGTATGTAAATAAATGGATGGAGGGAGTCAATTATAGATCTGTAAGCTGCCTGCTGGGCATACAGGATTAAGCCAGAAATGCTTTGTTTTACTTCATTATTTGCCAGTTGGCCTCTTCATGATGCCTTCTTTTATTCATTTGAAACATCTACCATGTGGTTATGGGCACTCTTCTGGGACTGGGGGAGTTAAGAGCGGCACAAGCCAACTTGGCTCCTGCCCTCAGGGAGCTGACACTCTCGGGCCCTCGTCAAGCATGCACTGTTAAGGGCCTGAAGGCATTCTAAGCATAGCCATATATGAACTCCTGAGATTGGTATTTGTATTATCCACAGGATCTATGTGCAAGGCAACAAGACAGAGAGAATTTAAGAGAGTTAACCAAGTCCTTAAAATAATTAGGGGTGGGGCCATGATTCTACCTCACTATTTACCTTATGGCAGTGAATTATGACCAAGCAGCAAGTGTGTTAATGCTACACTCACTCATATAAAATTATTTCTATTGCCTTTTTGATCCCATTTTCATATGCCAGATTTCTGTTTCAGTTTAATCTGTAACTTTTAAATTTAAGCTCAATTTTAAAGGTTTCTTGGTTGTTGGAAAATAGATTAGTATTTCAATAAAAGAGAAAGAGAAAGCAGTTTTAGCTATCATTTTGTGTATATGAATGCTTTGTTTTGAATGTCTGAAGATACTCAGGATAGGACATTGCTTTGCAGTGCTGAGACTTACCTACACACTGTTCTCCTCGCTTCTGATACCCAGTAGGGCACTGACATGTGAAAGAGCCTCTTAAGTTGATGCAAACTTGGTCGGCTCTACAGTTGTGCGTCCCCGCCGTACACTCGTCGATGTCTGCCAAAGACACCCAGCACAGAATTTCAGTTCCTTGTCAACACATAGATTGTTCTCTCTGTTTTAATTGTTTTTATAGTTTTGAAACAAGGCCTTGCTATGTAACCCAGGTCTCAAACTGATGATCCTCCTACCTCAGTCTCCCATGAGCTGGTATTATAAGGGATATAACCACCATGTCCAACATGATCATATTTTTTCTTAAGCTGAATTTTAACCTTAAAAACATTCTAATATTGGTAATATTGGAAAGGTTTACAATTATTATAAGTGCTCATAAAATAATTTCAGAGATGCCATTGTATGCATCAATGATAATATACTTAGCTCAGCTTCTGTGGTTTTGTTAAGAAATGAAACATTTCCAATGTGACTAACTACTTCTCTGAGATGGTTTTGTATTAATTCAAATCTTCTACATCATGACATTAAGTTAAACAAATAAAAGCATTACACAATTTTGGTGTTCTCTAACAAGTGAAGACTAAACTTCATTGAAAAATATCACAAAACCTATATTCCTAGACAGCAAATTTTGCATAAAACCAAGACAGATTTAGAAGGTCTTCTGTTATCATTGTGGCAGACCCAGGATGGTACTTTGGAAGAAAGAGATTAAAAGAGATTAAAAAAAAGAGCTATCATCAATTAGATCACTCAATTCCTTGCTTCCCTTTTAGAAGTTAAGGAAGCCAGTGCTGGTGGCTCACATCTCTAATTCTAGGTGCTCAGGAGGCTGAGATCTGAGAATCATGGTTAAAAACCAGCTCGGGCAGGAAAGTTGTGAGATTCTTGTCTCCAATTAACCACGAGAGAACCAGAAGTGGAGCTGTGGTTCAAAGTAGTAGAGCACTTGCCTTGAGCAAAACAACTCAGGGACAGCACCCACGCCCTGCGTTTAAGTGCCACAACTCACACACACACACACACACACACACACACACACACACACACACACACAACTCAGAGAATCATCTTTACTATTGTTTGGTTATTCTTTTTCCCCCATTTTTTGAAAGAGAATTGTTACTATTGTTACTATTCAATGTTTTAGTGTGAGAAGTTTAGGTTATAAATACATAAGGAAGTTGTCTTGAGATAGCAATTTTACTAAACCAAGTATGGAAGTGATAAGATTCTACCAGACAAAGGGAGAAGAGGTGAAAATTACTTCCTATGACTATAAGGTGGTAAGGCACCTTCTTCCATACTTCTTGGAACTTGGCTCTAAAGTTTTAGCTAAGTCTTTGATATAGTTTTTGCTTTGTTTTGAAAATTATTAGTACTATCACTGGTATTTTCAAGTCAGCAATCACAATCTAGGTACAGTGCAATGGCGCAACAATTTTGCTGTGAAATATCTGCCCCCTTTTATGTCTTTTATTATTTTCTCTTGTGCACTTGATGAAAACCTTTCTACTGGGGTTTCTTCAGAGCTTTTTATAACTCGCTAATGCAGAAATGACAGCAGAATTCCTATTGTTTTATGTCAAGAACATTTGCCAGCACTTGCAGTGATAACAGCCCTGAGAGATATGGCCATGTTAGACTCAGATGTGGCAAATTTTCTCTGTCCCTGCTGGCAGAAGATCAAAGGTTTGGGTTGGCTGCTACGTTTCTAAAGAGGTCTCCCTTGTAACTGAGGCTTTTCTTCTTGAGATATCTCTTTACAAACTGCTTATTGATGTCCTGCAATTTCCTTTCTATTTTTCATCATTTATTTGAAGTCTGTTTTGATAAATAAGCTATTTCCAGTGGGATAATAAGTAGGTTTTTTGTTTTTGTTTTTTTTTGGGTCCGGTCATGGGGCCTGAACTCTGGGCCTGGGCGCTGTCCCTCAGCTCTTCAGCTCAAGGCTAGTGCTCTACCACTTGAGCCATAGCGCCACTTCCGGCTTTTTCCTTATTGCTTATGTGGTGCTGGGGAATCGAACCCAGGGCCTCAGGCATGCAAGGCAAGCACTCTACCACTGAGCCACCTTCCCAGCCCCAATAAATAGGTTTTAAACATGCAGATCTACGCAATTTTTTATTTTTTAGTGGAGGGAGCGCTGGTACTGGGACTTGAACTCGGGACTTTAAATTCTTGCTTGACTTTTTCACTCAAATCTGGGACTTTATTGCTTGAGCCACAATTCAACTTCTAGCTTTTTGCTATTAACTGGAAATATGAATCTCTTGGATTTGTATGATATGGCTGGTATTGAACTTTTTTCTCCTTTTTGGACAGTCCTGGGGCTTGAACTCAGGGCCTGGGCACTGTCCCTGAGCTCCTTTTGCTCAAGGCTAGTGTCATACCCCTTGAGCCACAGCACTACTTCTGGCCTTTTCTGTTTATGTGGTACTGAGGAATTGACCCCAGGGCTTCATGCATGCTAGGCAAGCATTCTACCACTAAGCCACATTCTTAACCCCGGTTTTGTACTTTGATGCTCCGATCTGATCTTCAGCCTCCTGAGTAGTTAGAATTACAGGTATGAGCCACCATTACCTGGCTGCATCTTTCTTCTTCAGGATCAGATCTTCTTAGCTTTTAATAAGGATTACTTTTATTATTGTTGAGTTAAAGTAATTTAATAAAAACAAACAAAAATCCAAAATACTACTCCCTCCATTGCCTCCATTGCCAAAATTTTTTTTCTTTACTCAAAACCAAGAAAGCTGCAATAGGACTTGCTTCATGAAGCACTGACTGATGCTTTCTCTGGGATGACAGGCATACACCACCCCACCCAGCTTTTTTCATTGGAGATGAAAGCTTGTGAACTTTTTTGTCCCCACCACACCCAATATCTTTCTATGGAGATGAAATCTTGTGAACTTTTTTTGTCTCAGCTGGCCTGGAACAGCTATTTTCCCAATCTAAACCTGCCATGCAGCAATGGGGATGCCAAGAATACGCCATTGTGTTCAGCTCTTGATTGGCAAAGGGTCTTGTGTGAGTCCTTGAACTTCAGTCCTTCCAATCTCAGCCTCCCAAGGAGCCAAGCTTATAGACATGAAACACCAACATCTTTCTAGGCTTACTTTTTTTTTCTTTTTCTCTAACTAACATATGCTCTGTGCTGTAGACTTAAGCTTTTTGAGGGTGAATATATTTTTTGAAAATATATTTCTAGTGTCTAGTATAGTATATGAATATGGTGGATTTTAATAAATATTTGTTTTAATAAATTGATGGACAAGTCATTACTCCTTTGCTGAGAACTGATGAGTTTATGGAAAGTAGAATCAGTGTTTTATGAAACTAAAAGAAGGCAGAATAATGAGCAAGATCTGATAAACACAGTGAAATGGGCAAGAAATTAGTCCATGGGAATAATGTAAAGCAATTGAGGATAGAAAGTATAGAACGTAAGACAGATGAAGCAGTATCAAAAGTAAACAGCTATGGAAGTTTGCCAGAGGAAGAAGGTTCTGAGGCACAATTTGAAGGTGAGATATGTGGATTGGCAGGAGGTAGGCGGCAGTAAGAAGGAAGGTCACATTAGAAAACATTGACCCAGCTGCTTTGCAGGAGAGAAATGGCAGAGAGCCTTAGAGAGAGATTAGAAAAGTCAAAAGGAATACCACAGCAAGCAGCTTAGATTTATGCTGTCATGGCCTACTGTTAACACAAGCAAATAAAAGAATAGAATGTGCTTCCTAAAATGTCACAATACATTTCATCATTCAAATATATTAAGAATAGCTAATGGCAATATTTAGCCATTTTCTCATTCTTCAAAAATGTGCCCACAGACTACCTTTTATTGATTTATACTATTGTGGGTCCCCCTTTTGCTGACTTTGGCAAACTCAGTTGCTTTAAATAATCTTGTTTGGTCTCTGTTTAATTCTCACTTCTAGTCTCTTTATCACACTGACCCCCTGGTGATGGAACCACATATTTGATTTTCTCTCAAGCCTGATAGAGGCGATGATGTCCACCTCATTGGACACTATAGTGTCCACTGAGTCTCTGCTTAGGCCTTGTTCTCTATGTTTTTGGCTCCTTCCTTTAAATCTGACTCATATTTCCCAAACCCCTGACTCATGCTGCTTTCTCTCTCTTATGCAACATTTTAATCTTTGCAATGTTCTTTCCATAATTTGATAAGTTACCACAACATGGAGTCGTGTTTTTATGGGCAAAAATTATCTGCAACTTGAATTCTGTACAACTTAGACTATTCTACTTTATGCTGTATTAAGTTTACAAATATTTCAGAACTTTTGAAGAAGCCAACAAATATTAGTAAAGGCAATTCACTGATAAAGGGGAATGAGACAGAAATTAGTTTGATTCTGTCACTTCCTATGTGCTCTAAGATCATGATATCAATGAAACCTTTTAAGTACAAATGACTCATTGCCTGGAGATCTGATCAGTTTGAAATATTGATCTTATTTTTCAAAATAATCCTGGAAGGTAAAGATTATCTGTACAAGAGCTGAGGTTATTTTTATTTTACTATGATTTATTAGTTATGGCTATTCTAATTATGATCACAGTAATGTAATTATCTTGATGGCAATCTTATTAAGAAGATCTGTATAATACAGTGTTTTATATAGGTAGTTTTATATAGAAATTTGTTAAAATTCTGAAATAAATTGGTATAAAATAGATAAATGCACAGCAATATGAAAAGATCTATTATTTGATTAGGAAGTCAGACCAAGAAATATCTCATTTAATCCTAATAACAGCACTTTGCAATAAGTGATCATATTATCCACAATTTATGGATGAGGAAGGAGAATGTTACCAATGTTTAGATCAGTAAGGTAACAGAATTTCAAATCCAGGGTTTCAACTTTGTTTCTGCAGTTTAGGTAGGCACAAAGACTTATTTACTAAGAGCTCGGATAGCAGATATTTTGCTATAGCCTTATATATTTATTTTTTCCCCTTAGCATTAAAGAGAGTGGTCCTAACCTCATAGCACCTTGATTCTTCCCTTGAGTCTTTCTTTGACTTAGAATAACATTCATGGTCCTCCAAGTTTTCTGTTTCTC